TCCAGAATGATACACATTTTAGTGCTGTATCAAAAAAACACTTCTATATAAATAAGCACAAATAAAAGTGATGCTAATGGAGTCCATCCCCTATCTCCTCCCAAACAAAATCCGGTTTAGAGGTCCATCCCCTAACTTCCCCTAAACCGTGGAGTACATCCCCTATCTCCTCCCAAACAAAATCCGGTTTAGAGGTCCATCCCCTAACTTCCCCTAAACACGCTCGAGCGAAGGAACTATTGCTCGAGCGAAGAACGAACTAACTCGCTCGAGCGAAGAAAAGCTCGCTCGAGCCAAAAACCTCTATTCTCAAGTCTAATTACAAAACGCAGTCCTCGCTCGATCGAAGAAACCCTGGCTCGAGCGACGGACCAAAACAAAGGGCTTGCTCGAGCGAAGAACTGCTCGCTCGAGCGAAGAGTCAAAATTCTGGGCAGCAACCCATTGCTCCCAAGCTTAACCAACCTGCTACAAACCTGCCTATTGCATCCCCCAACTCATAAATAGGAAATTAAAGGACGGTAACAATCAAAATACAATGGTAGGAGCTACGGAACCTAAGTTCGGATACAATACTCATATGGGAAAAGACCGGGGTCGCTATATGTTCTACCCTCTTGTGTGCCTTATTTGCTTAAGCTTGGTGCCATTTTTTAAAGCTTTAGAGGCACCCGTTGTTTGGCCTTAAGGTCTAAAGTAGGAGGGGGTTGCCTCCCCTCCTTGCTTCTTGGTTCTATGTCTTGTTGGCCTCATACTTGAGCATATTTTTCTAGCATGTGTTGGCTTAATCTCAGCCTATTTTTGGTCTTATTTCAGTATGTTGTAGCTCTGTTTTGGCTTGGTTGAGTCACCTTATGCATACTTTATACACTTGTAGTGTAATCCTACTCGCTAGCCTAACATGCTTCATGTCTTAGCCTATAATTCTAGCATGTATTGCCTCCACTCCAGCATGTTTTTGGCCATTATTTAACATGCTTCAACTCTGATTTTAGTTGGTTGGATCACCTCTTGCTTGGTTCTTGCACTTGTAGTGCAATCATGCTCCTTAACCTAGTGTACATGGTGTTTTGACCTTTTATTGTAGCTTGTCTTGGCTATACTCCATGCATGTTTTGGTATTATTTTGACATGCTTTAGGACTGTTTTGAGTGTTCTTGGCCTTTTGGGGCTTGCTTTGTATAGCTATAGTATAAATGGCTTCACTAGTCTTGAGTTTTGAGGCCCTTAGCATGCTATATTTATGATGTGTGCATGCTATGGCATCATTTGGTATGAAATTTCAGAGCTTACATCTTTTCCATGCTTCCACCTAAGTCGCTCTTTCAATACTTTTGAGAAGTTGAGCATCATGCCTTATTTGTGAGCCAATACTTGAGCTTATCTTTCTTGCCATCTATGCTGCGAGTCTAGCATGCTTTTGCTACTATTTTGACCTGCCTTAGGTCTGTCTTGAATGGTTAAGGTCATTTGAGCATTGCTTAGTATGGTTGTAGTGTAAAGGGCCTTGACTAGCCTTGAGTTTTGGGGCCTTTAACATATTATATATGTGTTGTTTATATGATATGGAATCATTTGGCATGGTATTTCAGAGCATATACTCCCATCATACACTCATATATATCGCTCTTTAATTGTGTTTGAGAGTCGGGCCTTATGCCTCGTTGATGAGCCAATGCATGAACATCATTTTCTTGCTTTTCATGCTATCTTCTCGGTTCATTTTAGCCACTGTTTTGGCCTGTTGTAACTCTGTTTTGGGCTGGTTTGGTTGTTTGTGCATAGTATTGCATGCCTCTAGTGTTGTGTCCTTCGCTAGTCTCGGCATTCTTGACTCTTAGCATGCATTGCATGAGTTGTTAGCATGTTTTAGCATCATTTGTCATGCCATTTCAGTGCTGAAATGTATACCATTGCATGCCATCTGTCATTTGTTGTATCACTTTGAAAGAGGTCTTGAGCCCTTTGTTGGTTTGAGTACGAAATTGAGGCGTTCATGCTCAACGGCATGATGCTTATTTTATGCTCAAGAAGCTTGTGGCTTGGTCCATCTTTCCAAATTAGAGGACTTCTCACTTTTGGATTTAACCGGTTAAAGGACTTATGGGTAATCTAAAATGAGTAAACAAAATGAATCAAAGTAAAACATGCCAAGATAACATGTTTGTGATGCATTGCATGTGTTTGGATCGGACGTTAATCCAAACACAAGAAATGAGAGACGTTTCAGACTTGAAGTGATGAAATGTACCTCATTTCTTAGTCGCCGTCCCCCTTGATTGTGCATGATAGGGTGGAGGTCTCTTGAGTCTTGTGTGTTATTTGTGCATTCATTAACTTGTACAAACTTGGCTTCTCGGCCATCATGCATTGCAATGCTCGGTTGGTGGCCTGAGAGTCAAGTATCACACTTCTTTGATCTTGAGAAATGATAAGGAGGGTGTTCGTACACAGATACCCTGCAAATATCTTGCTTTGCCTCTGTTGTACTCTGTTTGCAGCAAAATTGGAGTGTGCAGGAGCAAGTGGCCGACCGGCCAGGGGAAGTGGCCGACCGGCCACCTTAAGTGGCCTACAGCTTCCCCTGGTGACCGACAGTCCACCAGCCTGAAGGTGGTTCAAAGTGGTTCTGGTTCTGGAACAGAGGCAGCCTGTAAATTGGTTCAGTGTTCAGGAATCAAAGTGAATTCAAACAGAGGCAACCGGTGGCAAGGCGACAGATTTTCGAGAGGAAGTCGATCGAGCATGCATGCATCCATCCCTCGCCCCGAGGCCTTTTAACTGTTTTGCTTAGATGGTTAATTCGTTGATTCTGTAATTAATTAGTTAATGTGCTTAGCTAATCAGTTTGTGTTGTAATAATTAGTTAACTAGAATAGTTAATTAGTTATGGTTTGTAATAGTTAGCTTAATTAGCGTAGCTAGTTAGCTTTCATTTCATTCGGACCCTCCGTCGAAAGGGCATATGTTGTAATAAGGGTGCGTGCGTGTGTGCGTGTCTTCCAACCCCACTTCTTTCTCCCTTTTACTTATCCAATTTTGATGGTTAGATTAGGACATTTTTCAATTAGCATACCTTATGCTTTGCATGCATGCATCATTCATTTGCCATGCATGCACCGGGCTCGGCGCATCATTCAAAGTGCATTGTATTTCAATACACTTTCTTGAATACATGTTTCAAAGCATGTTATCAAGTGTTGCACTCATATGCCATTCTAGATAGCCGAGTCTATTTTAGTTGCATTTTTGCATGTGTTGCATTAGGCATCTTAACATAGCTAGGATCATGCATAATTTCTAACTAGCTTCTGTTTTGGCTCGGAGTACACTGTAAGAGTTTACGCGTCAGCATCCTTGCATGAGTGTGAGTGTTGCCATGTCAGCATGCTTGCCATGAGGCTATTTGCTTAAATGCTAAACTGCATGAATGCCTGTGGATGAAGGCTTCATTACTTGAATTGGAACAATTCATCAAAATGCGATTTTTAAGCCCACTTGAAGTGGCAAATCATCATGTTTAAAGCTCACCTTGTTTGGTGGCAAATCCGCGTTTTAGCCTACTTGCGAGTAGCATCTTCAAACCACTTTCGAAAAACGAACATGAGATGTTTTGTTCCAAATCGAGCGATTAAGTCTATACTTGTGTGTTGTGCGCATCAGATAGTAAGTTAGCTAATAATCAAACAAGAATACATGTGTTTTCAAAAACAACATATCATGTTAATAGAGGCCGATCCTTTGATCGGACGAGTGGGGGGTGCTCATTTCATGACCTTCCCCCCTCGTACCCAAGTTCCTGAGCCGAGGCAACTTTGGTAATGACGGACATGTGGCCTTTGACACGAGTCAGGGTTTTCAAAATTTCTTAAAACAAAATATTTAGGTGGCGACTCTGAAATCTGGCAAAACAGTCCATGTTTGGCGTTTTTTTGATCAAAATCGTTTTTCCAAAACGACGGTCTACAGTGCCCTGCTTTGACTGTGTTGAAATTCACAGTTAATTAAAACTATTACCAACATCATCATCATAGAAATATTCTCTTTGAGTAGTTAGATTAAAATATGTACCCCACACGAATGAATCATCTGATTTATGTGAAGGGCATTGTGAAAATTTTGAAAAGACATTCCATTGGAAATTCTTGTGATTGTTGGCCATTATCTTGTTTCTAGAGACTGAGATTTATGTTTTTATTGTTATGTTTTTTAATTATTTTTTAATTTAAAAAAAAATAGTTATTTTATCTATATTCTTAATTGTTGGTGATAAACGTGCACTTGTTAAAAGGTTGTATCTAGTGCACAATGTTCCCACTTACTTACAAGAGAGTTCGGGATAAGTAATGGATTTGAAGAAGAGGAATTGTTTATTTATTTTTTAATAACGGTTTGGTGATGAGTCTTCATAAGCTGCAAGTTGTGGAATGACTAGATTTTGCACCACCAACGCATTTAACATTTGAATGACTTACATTATACTGCTTTTTAATTGATGGAAATTGATATAAAATTTTCATATAAAAGGGAAATTATTGAGATATTTAAAAAGGTGAAGTATTCATTAGTGAGATTAGGAAAAAACTTTATAAAAAAATTATGATTTTAATAATTAATATTTATAATGTTTATCATATTTTTGTAAATATTTTTTTAATCCTTCCCTTATTTAAATGGTGTAATATGACAACTTAAATTATCATTAAAATTTTGAATAATGGAGAGCAACACTGTTACGATTATTAAAAATTGTAAATAAATGTGAGAGTGAATAATTTTGGTGATGGAGATTTTCGGTGTTAGTATATTTTTTCTTTAGTCATTGGTCTGCCTAGATACGAACAAGAAAAGAAAAAGAAAAAAAAAAAAAAACATTTTCAACAATATGATTCATTGATTCATTTTTTGTAGGCCTGCATGAACTTGTAACTGTGTTATTTTGACGTGCACCAAAAAGAAAGTATTATTTGAATACAACTTCTGAACTATCCTCTTCATTCTCTTTTACTTTCTATTCATTAAATTAGAGTAGATTAAGAACGTATGCATTTATTTATCATTATTCCTTTTAATTTGATGTAGGTGTCCTTTTTAAAGAACCGTGTTAATATTGCTAGTGGGACACCAAGCAGGTAAGTGCTCTTAGTCTATTTTTTATTTAATATTTTGTGAAGGCACTGGCTCTGTAAGGCATCTCTGGCTGTGAGGTTACCCGCTTAGTCTGTCAAGGTTCTTGATTATTTTTGGGTCTTTGAGATAGGTAGGTAAACTAGTCTTTGTTTTGGGAGCTAAATTTATGAGGCAATGTATTTTAGTTGGAATAAGGTTAAGTGAAAGTAATAAATTGATAGTGCTGCAAGCATTGCACTAGGGCGTGATTCTCTTACCCTTTCTGATCAAACGTACATGCCAAATTTAGGTTTCTTCATTTGGTATTTTCTTATCTTCATCCTTGAGTTTTTTTATGTCTTTATGCAAGCAAGTTGTATCATGTTGTCTTGTATATAACTTTCAACTTCTTTTTAATTTAGTTTACTACTCTTGTGTTTGTTTTTGCGTAACTTGTTTGGTTTTGTATTGTAAGCGGTCATTGATGATGTGACAGGTTGTGAGTCCTCTGAAAATCATAGTAGTCACTAAGCTGGCGCTCGCCCTTTGTAGTTGGAGAGGAAGGGAGCTGAAGCAATCTTAGAGAGAGAGTGACACCAAGGGAGAAAAGCCTCTGGTGTGTAGACAAACTATATATCTTTTGAAAATAGCTTGCTGCCCAAGGAGGGGAAAACCTCTTTTTATAGGACTTGAGCCATAGGGGCCAACTTACTCTCATCCTTTTTACTTCCTGTGCATTTATTTCCTTGTTATTTTTTGTTCATTTTTGTTTTTGGAATGGATCTTCTCCATTCCATTATGTAGATCTAATTCATAATTTTTTTTTTCTCCTTAATTAGCAGGCTTTGCATTTCAATTTACTTTGCCGATTATGCTGTTGTGGTGACAAGTGAAATATCATTTATCTTTATTTTTTAGTCCTTTTTGCTTGGGTTCATTAACCTATTAAGTTGTATAAAATGATTTTGTAAAATCTCAAATTTGTTTTAGGATCAAGAAGTTGATTGATATGGAGGCACTGGGATTAACACGATTAGCAGTGATTGTGCTTGACATGCAAACTGATGTTAAGGGTTATTCCTTATTCACACTTCCTCAAGTCAGGTTTGACTATAACTTTACCAATCTCTGTCCCTATTTTCCTTTTACCATTGTCATCTTTTATGTTATTTTTTTCTTTGTCATAAACATTGTTAATCTAGAATCCAGAACAACCACGTCTTTGTCATAAATATTGTTAATTTGTTTCTCATTTATTTGTGTCATGTGATAGAGATGAGTTCTGGGACTTGTATAAAAACTACTTGCACCCATGACTAGTTCAAGGTGATCTTCGTATCTATCTCTATGGTTTGATACCAATTAGCTTTGAGGTAAACAAGGAAGTTGCTAGTGACTGAATAACAACATATTGAGGTATAGCTCAATAGCTGACTTTGATGTGCATATTGGCATCCAAATTTGTCTGTTGCAAGTAATTTTGTAGAAGTGAGTTAATATTGAGCTTTCCATTCTATATAATCTGAATTATCTTGTTTCAGTACTTCTGCTGGTTGCAAAAATATCTGATAAGGATGGATGATTGACTCGTATGTGTAGTTGTGGGTGTTGATTTCCGGCCACACGACCAAATGGGGAACTCAGCTGGAGAGCATTGGTAGAATAGATTAAGCCCGAACAACTACCAACAAGAATATGAGAATACGAAGGTGGTTCGTCCACCTGGGGGCACTTCGACAATCAAGTCAGTAATCTTATCTCTCACAGATATCAATACAAGTACTTAAACTTCAACAATGAAAGCATAAAAGCATCTCAAATAAAGCATGCCTTAGACCCACAAGGATGCCTTACTTTTATAATGATTAGTGTCCAACTTCCCGTAGAAGTCTTACTTCATGAGATTCTATCCTTTGCAAGGATAACATTTATCACAACTCACACTATTCAGATTAAGATGAACTCCCTCAAGAGTCCCATCTCTATCCAAATAGGTAGCTTGATGTTATCTAGGACTCTAATCCTCTATCCAAATATCTCGAATTCTGATATTATCGCACCATATCTCAGCACCATGGTCCGCCCACGTGGCACCTCGGCCAACAACCTCGGCCACGTGGACTACCTAAAAATATGTCCCCACAACTGCCCCCTAGGTTCTATTACCTCGGTAAACTGAGGTGATGGAACCTATACATGTACTTCCCCAACCGAGATCGTGACTCGTTGGCACCAAGAAACAAGGACTCAAATGTCCACTCGTCAAGAATTAAGAACCATGAACCATCATGTTCCATTTTATCTAAGTCCAACATCTTGACAGAGATCGCACTACTAGCAGAGATCATGACTTGCTAGTTCAAGAACATCAAGACCCTAGTATCAACTCATCAGAAACCAAGAATAAACAAGTTCTGCCCCCATTCAAATTCAATATCTCAACCAAGATCAACATCTCAACTGAAATCATCATGTTAACCAAGATCACCATCTCAACCGAGATCATCATCTCTACCGTGATCAATATCTCAACTGAGGTCATCATGTTAACCAAGATCATCATGAGATTGGAGCGTGCCAATCACGTTCCCATCACGTCGCATCAGTTCTGTCCCCCGCCGTTTGACGTCAGCACGGGCACGTCAGGATTTCTAATTCTAGCAAAATCATTTCATTTTCCTATTTCATCTCTATCTGTGTCCCTAGACTCTTTTTCTCTTGGCCTCTGCAAATTATCATCCCTGTTCTTGAAGCATTCATTACTATGAAGACTCCCTTTGTGCCCAAGGTTTAAACTCTACCAGCTGAACCAGACTAACAACCAAGCAATTCATCAGCTGCTTCACACATCAACCCACCATTTCAATGGCAGTGAAAACATTGACATAGCAACAATCTTGCAGCTAGAACCAGGAACAGGAAACATCGAGGTCCTAAGCTCCCAGCCTTAGACCTTGATAATTTTTCAATCGCCTTATCTGTGAGTAACCATTGCCATAACCAATGACAACATGTCTCCCTGAACTCTTGTCGTAGAAGACTTTCTTGTTGACATCCCTAATGTCATAACTATGTAATCCACTCTATCTCTTTATAGTCAATCCAACATGCTCATGCCTTCAGCAACTCAATATCTCGAAAGAGAAGTTGCAAAGGCCGAAAAAACAAGTCAACATGGCCTGCAACAAAGGCTACTATCTCGACTAGATGACAGCCTGCAAACACCCCATTTTTGACCGACCTTAAGACTCAAACATCATCGATTGTGCGCTTGGTGTTAGCGCGTGTTGTGCTCGTTTCGAGCTTCGGAGTTTTGGCTGAGAGCCTTGCCTCCGGATCTCCGAACTCTTTGTGCTTTGGCTTGGTTTGTGGATCGGACCTTGTTTTCTCTTCCCAGAGGGAGGGAGAGGTCTTGTAGACCATCTCTCTATGGTCGTAGACTGCTTTTGTGGTCGTAGGCCACTTTTCCCGTTTAGAGACTAGTTTCTGGTTTTTGGAGCCTTCGGTCGTGCGCCTTGTCTCGGTACCGCTTCACGTTCTCCGTTTGGCTTGGTTTTTGAACCACACCTTGCTTCCTCTCCATAGAGGGACACTGTGGTCCGAGAGACCACTTTTGTGGTCGTGTACCATTTTTGGTGCTCAACAACTGGGTTTCGAGGCTCCCAACTGCGCGCTTTGCCTCCTGAACTCTTGTTTGCATCCATGTTGGTTTGTTTTTGGTACAAGCCTTGTTTTCCTTGCTTGGAAGGTGGTATGAGGGTGGGAGACCGGTTTTTTCCCTTGGAGACCACTTTCCTTCCCGTCAGCTGATTTTCTTGGTCTTTGGGCCACATTTTCTGGTCTCCCACCCCACCATTAGCTTGCTTTCAGTGTGGAGACCACCAATTCCCCCTGTCGACCACTTTTTTTTCTTGGAGACCACTTAAAGTGGTCGACCAACCATTGCAAGTAGCAGGCCGACCACTTTAACTGGTCGACAGCTCTCCCCCTGTTTTGGCAAACTGTGTGGATGCCAGCTGTGCCAGCTGGATGACACAGACTGTATCATCCATACACGTGTATGGAGGGATTGTATCCAAGTTTTAGCTTCTCCAAGAAGCTTGAACCTTTATTTTTTTTTATAAGAGAGGCTCTCCCTCTCCATGGGAGAGGTTCTGAAATTTTCCTAAGGCATAAGCATATCTCTCTCTCTCTCTATATCTCTATATTTGGTGCCTAAAGAGTGTGTTGTTCTTCACTTTTGCACCACAACCCTTAACCATACACCCCCATCATTGAACAAAGGTTCTTGGAGGACATTTTGGAGGCTGAAAAAGCTGATTCTTGGCTGAGAAATCTGCTGGTTTTCCAGTGCTTCAAGGGTAACCTCTTTTCTTCCTTTTAAGTTTTATTTTGGTTGCTCTCTTGGTCTCATTTGCATGCTTATTTAGGCTTTGCTTTCAACTGGAAAAAGTTTTGTATTTAAATTTTTTTGATGTTTGTTTAAGGCCCCTTGGGTGTTGAGGGTCTTCTACCCTCTTGCATGCCTCGTTTGGCCTTATTTTGTGCCATGGTTTAAGGCCTTTGAGGTAGTCCTTGCTTGGCCTTCTAGCCACTGAAATCCAGTAGATTTTCAGTGGTAGGCATGTGGTTTTGAGGCCTCAAATCAGAGGGGGGTGATCCCCTCTCTTCTTGTTTTGTTTGCTTGCATTTTTGGCCTATCAAAGGAGCATGCATCTTCATACTTTCAAAGCTTGGTTCAGGCACTTTTTCATGACTTTTAGGGCCTGCCTTAGCTCTGTCTATGGCTGGTTTGGCCACCTTGTGTTTGCTTCTTGTATGTGTAATGTATTCCCATTTGTGGCTCATCAAAGTAGCATGTCTTTCTAGCATGTATTGGCTCCATTTCAGTAGATTTTTGGCCATCGTTTGGCATGTCATGACTCTGTTTTTGGCTGGTTTGGTAGCCTCTTGCATGCTCCATATGCTTGTAGTGTAAATCTTGTTTACTAGCTTTGTATGCATGATGTTTTGGCTCATTATCCTAGTATATTTTGGCTATGTTCTAGCATGATTTTGTTCTTATTTTGGGCTGTCTTAGCTCTATTTTGAGGCTTCTTGGTTGATTGAGGCTTGTCATGCATGCTTGTAGTGTAATAGCCTTAACTAGCTTTGAGTTTTGAGGTCTCTTGCATGCTTAACTTGAGGTATTTGTATGTTTTAGCATCATTGAGAATGATATTCCAGAGCATGTAGGGCTGTTATACTTCCATATTTTCCACTTCTTAAGTGCTCTTGAGGGTTGTGCCTTATGTCCTATTTACGAGCCATTACATGAGCCTCATTTTCGTGCCTTTCAAGCCATCATCTCAACCCATTTTTGCTACTATTTTGGCCTGCATAGGGTCTGTTTGGGGTTGGTTTGGCCATTTGAGCATTGTCTTGCATGCCTCTAGTGTAATACACTTCACTAGCTTCGACGCTTGAGCTTTTCAACATGCATTACATGGGTTGTTTGCATGATTCTAAGTCATTTTGCATGCCATTTTAGTGCTGGAGCATATGCCATCGTACTTCATGTTTTATCCTTTCCATGCCTTTGGAGAGTTGTATTTTGTGCCTTGAGCTCGGGCCAACATGCATGCATGTTTGTATAGCATTTTGAGTTTCTATCTTAGCATGTATGGCCACTGATTTGGACATGGCTGAGGCCTATCCATTTTGGTTTAAGTCCATTGTGCATTGAGTATGCCATGTGGTTCATAGCATTAAGAATGCCATGTTGTTGTATGATTGATTATTACATTTGTGCATACCATGTCCATTGCCTAGCGTATGCTAGTTACCATGTGCATTGTGTACACTAGTTGTCATGAGCATTGTGTATGCCATGTAGTTCATAGCATTGTGTATGCTAGTATGTTAGTTGCATGTTTTCATGTTTGCATACTTGAGCCGCATAGTGTATGCCATGCCATGTTATTTGTTGCATCGTGTTTGGAATAGGAGTTAGTCCAAATACGGGAAACGAGGGATGTTTCATACTCGAAGTGATGAAACGTGCCTCAATTCTCGGTCGCCGACACTCTTGACTATACATGATGGAGTTTTAGGCTTTATGTGTTCGTGTGTTCATTCATTTCATATTGAGTTATGCAATTTGGCTCCTCGGCCATCATTCATCGAGATGCGTGATTGGTGGCCCGAGGGTCAAGAACCACACCCCCTTGAGCTTATGTAATGAGAGGGAGGGTGGTTGCGCATACACGTGTTGCAAATACTTTGCCATGCCCCTTTCTTGCTCTATGTTGCAGCAAACTAAAGTCTGGCAGCAGAAACTGGTCGGCCGACCAGATAA